GGAGGGTTGTACGATCTGGATATTACGGTCGGGTTTTGGAGGGTTGTACAATCTGGACATTACGGTTTGTTTTGAGGGCTTGGTACAATCCGGAGAGTATGATATTGTGTCTATTAAAATTTCCTCGCGGGAACATGGATGGTGTTTTCTCTATGTTAAGGGGCAACATGTGGAGATAACGGTATGTTCTTTATATTGTGAACATGGTGTGGAGGCGCTGTGTGTAAATCAGCGCATGGCAGTTGTGTCGCCTGGATATTACCAGGTGACAGTCCTGAGTTCTGCGGGCAGACGGTGATATATTCTGGATGTTACAGGGCGTGTATTCTGCATCCTGTATACTGTGGGGGGGACCGGTGGGATATGGAGTCATGCAGCACGGAAACAGACCCTTCGTTCCAACCAGTCCATGCCTGACCACAATCCCAAACTAAGCCAGTCCCACCTGCCGGCTCCCGGCCCGTATCCCTCCAAACCTTTCCTGTTCGTGTACTCATCCAAATGCCTTTCGAAACACGACTGTACCCTCAAACCACCACGTCCTCTCGAAGCTCATTCCGCGCCTCTGTTTTGCCCCTCGTATCTGTTTTAATCTCTCTCCTCTCACCTTAAAAGTATGCGCCCACTGCTGTAGAATTCCCCCACCCCAGGGAAAAGACAACGACCATTAACTCTATCTGTACCCCCTCATTATTTTGTGAACTTCCATAAGGTCACCTCTCAACCTCCTGTGCTCCAGTGAAGGAAAAGCCCCAGCCTTCCCTTATAACTCAAACCCTCTGTAACCGGCAACATCCTGGTAAATCTCTTCCGATCCCCCTCCAGCTTTAATAACCTGCAACTGGGCGACTAGAACTGGGGATAGAAACCTCACCCCCAACACCCCCCACTCCAGGAATCAATTTGGTAAACCGTGGCTGCACCGCCTCACTGCGGGATGGGCACCCTGCGAGTTCCGCTCGCGAGACAGGGAGGCGGTGCTCCTGAAGCGCGGAGGGGGCGGTGTTTCACTCCCACCTGGTGACTGTGGCTCTCTCCCTCACAGCGCCCCGACCCATGGAGGAAGAGGACGGGCAGAAGGGCGTCGCGGGACCGCGCCCAGCCAGGAGGATGCTGCCTCCGGGCATCCGGGCGGTGCTGCGTCCGCCGTCAGGCAGGGGTGGAGCGCGGAGGCGGTGCCGGCCTGGGCAGAGGGGCTTCATCTGCTCGGACTGCGGCAAGACCTTTGAGCACTCGTGCCACTTCGAGCGTCACCTGCGGGTTCACACGGGTGAGCGGCCATTCAAGTGCCCAACCTGCGACAAGGACTTCAACCACAAGTCGAACCTGGTGCGGCACGAGCGCACCCACACGGGCGAGAAGCCCTTCCGGTGCCAGACCTGTGGCAAGGAGTTTAGCCAGCCGTCCAACCTGGTCAAGCACCAGCTGACCCACACGGGTGAGAAGCCGTTCCGGTGCCAGACCTGCGGCCGCGACTTTAGTCGCCTGTCCAACCTGGCCACCCACCAGCGCACGCACACCGGGGAGAAGCCCTTCCGCTGCGCCGTCTGCCTCAAGGACTTCAGCCAATCGTCTATCCTACGTCGCCACCAGCGCACTCACACCCGGGAGAAGAAATACCGCCGCTGCGTCGTGTACGGGGCCGGACCTCGCGGTGGCTGCCACCTCTTGCTACACGACGCCAGGTGAGATACTGGCGGCAGTTTGGTGTGGGGAGGGGGGGGGAAGCTGCAGAGGGACGCAAGCGACAGTACGAGTCTTAACCCCCCCCCCCCCCCCCGTTGTTCTCCTTGTTGCAGTGCCTTGGGAGTGGAACACCTCCAGCTGCGCGGAGGGGTGGAGGAGGAGGAGGAGGAGGAGGAAGAGGAGGAGGAGGAGGAGGAGATGGGGGGCGAGCAACAGGTCCGGGACGGTGATCTGGAGCGAGCAGAGCTCTTCATCTGCTCCGACTGCGGGATGAGCTTCAAGACCATGCTGAAGCTGAAGTGCCACGAGCAAGAACATGAGGAGCAGCAGCGCCCGCACCAGGAGGAGGAGGGAGCCCCTCCCGGTACTGACCGTTAGACACCCACTCGACTCCCCATCCCCTCTGTCTCCCAATAACCCTCCCCACCCATGGCGCACACACGTGTGCACACACAGACACACATATGCACATGCATGCACACACACAGACACACATACACATGCACACACACACTCACACACGCAACATGCAAACAGACACATACACACGCACACACACACACTCATGTACAGACACACATGCACATACACACACACACATGCAAACAGACACACACACACACACACACACACACACACACACAGCTGTCCTGGCAGGGTGACTCAAATCCGATTCCCCGAGCCCCCCCACCTCCTCCCAACCCTGCTGACGGTAACCTCACAACTCCCTCCCCCTCCTCCCACCACCTCCCCTCCCACACCCCAAACCCCGATCGACGCCGTCGCCTCCAGGTTAAGACGGCGAGTCGGATTTATTTGCTGGCCGCGCGATTGCATGGAGCCGACGTGGCGAGAGGTTCATCGTGATCTGGCGGTCAATCCCTGCAGGGCCCGTAGGACGGTTCGATGCTGCCCCCACCCCCAACCTATCCCCCCTCCCATCCATCACCTCCTGGACAACCCACAGAGCCCGCATCCTCCCACCCCGCCTCCATCTCTGCTTTGTGCCAGCGGCCAGGAATTATGCCTGCCGTGGGAATGGGGTTGGGGGGGTGGGGGTGGAAGGGGGTTGGGAGTATGGTGGGGGTGGTGGGGGGGGTGTTGGGAGTGTGGGGGGATGGGGGGTGGTGTTAACCCCGCCCTATTTCACTTCTTCCTCCTGCTCTCATTTCACTCCGACCATCCCACTACCCCCACCCGACCAAACAACCCCCTCCACCACCTTCACAGACATTGTGGTGGGGGGTGGGGTGGGGGGAGAGAGTTGTGGGGGGCGCTCCCTCACGAGGTTGAAGAGGTGTGGGGTGAGCGGGGGGGACGGGGGGAGGAGGGGAGGGGGAACGGAGGCCACGATAGAGCAGGGTGAGGGTATGGGGTGGCAAACGTTTCTCGTGGGCTTGGGAGTGTGGGAGGTAGGGGGAGAGGTTGGGAATGCGAGAGGATTGATGAACGAGTGACTGCGTGGTTTAATCTCGGTCCCACTGCGGTTAGGGGGCATCAGGATGATTGCTTAACCACCCCCTCCTCCACCTCCTCCTCCTGCCTCCCTAGCTGAGGCCAGGATGCTCCAGAGGAATACCCAAGTCACTACCCCGCCCTTCGCCCTCCCTGCCCAAATCCCCGGACAGAGAGGATGGAGCGGTAGCTCTTGGGGATCGTGACCGGACCCTCAAGATGGATGGAGTGGAAGACGAAGGGACGGGGTTGGTGCGGTGGGGGTGGGGATGGGGATGGGGATGGGGGTGTGGGTGGGGGTGAGGGGGAGGGTTGGGGAAAGGGAAGGGGAAGGGGGGGTTGCTGGCTGGGTCGCAGAGAGGAGGCCACTCCTCCCGTTCTCGCTCGCTGGCCACAATGGCGCCGCTGGTCAGAGAAGTGGGGGTGGGATCCTATTCTGCCAACCGGGGATGGGGGGTGGGGGGAAACAGGTGCCGGGAAAGCGCACGGTTTTAGAAACGCGGGGAGGTCTCTGGGTTAGATTAGAATTCCCTGTACGTCTTGCTTCTCTTTTACCTTCACTTGTTCTTTGTAAAATAAACCCCGCTGGATGGTTTACACGCACCAGGCACCTCTCAGGAGTTATTATTACGAGGCTGGCGGAGTGGGCACTGTCGGAGGGTCAGTGCTGAGGGAGCGGGCACTGTCGGAGGGTCAATGCTGAGGGAGTGGGCACTGTCGGAGGGTCAATGCTGAGGGAGTGGGCACTGTCGGAGGGTCAATGCTGAGGGAGTGGGCACTGTCGGAGGGTCA